AAAAGAAGTTTGTACAACCACTATCCATCATCATCAATCTTCTGTGATTGGAAGCAATCGGCAGGAAGCACTAGATTCAGGGTTAGTAGTACTCATCTGTAAGGTATAACTTGCGACAGAGTTTTCCTCCCGGTGATAAGATTATCAAACATTACTGATGTGCAAAGAATCGCGTAGCTACTTGCTTCTGTTATAAACCTAACCGAAGGTGTATTGACTTATACTACACCCCATTTTAAGAAACTTATTTAGGCTACCATTACTGAGTCGTAGTGCACAAAAAAATTAACTGATGTCCAACTGTCGAATAATGCACATCTGGTTCACAGTTAGACTGAGAATATTCATCATTTCAAAGTTAACTAGTGTCACGTTTATTTTTGGAATTGACTTATAGTACTTATGTATAAGTGAGAGCAAACTATGTTTATCAAGCATAAAATTCAATCCAACTGAATTCACAAACCACATTCCAATATAATGATCTCTTATCACAGATTCTTTTACAATATCAATAGCTTATTGTGTAATTGTAGACATCAGTCATAACGTAGAACTTCGTACGTACGTACATCAGTTCGAGTTGCCATACCACATTAGCACAGAGATGCAGTTGTCGATTCAAATCCCATAGTGGTAGAAGTAGTAGGAGTATAATCAGAAATCCAAAAGATTAGGGTTTGAAGAAATTATTGAAGGAGTATAGTACAGTGAAATAAATTTGGAAAGAGAAAAATATAAGGACATGAGGAATTCAGAAGATTAGAATTTGGTAGAACACAAAGAGTGGATGCACCTTCCCTATTGCAAACGATTTTGAGCCATGTCATTCAAGGTCTCTAACCATCGGTTGCTATCATCTCGCGAATCCCAACCAGGTAGTCTACACCTACCAACATGGCCCAGTCCACTTGTCAGTGACTTCATTGACTTGTGCCACGTTTTGGTCTGGCCACCCCTAGCTTTCTTACAACCTACTCCTACACCATGAAACATTGCACGTCGGAGTAGTCGGTGGTCGGGCATACGTAACACATGTCCCAGCCATCTCAACTGATCAAGTTTCACTACTTCATCAATCTATTTGCTATCCCTACCTAGCACTCGTTTCCTAACAACTGCATTACTTACCCGGTGGTCCCAGGATATACGAGCAATGCTTCGAAGACACCTATGATCGAACACTAGTAGCCTACGAATATCCTCTACTCTTATTGGCCATGTTTCACTGCCATAAAGTAGGACGGAACGAACTGCTGCACAGTAAACCCGTCCTTTGGTTGCTAGACGGATATCTCGCCTACACCATAAATGACGCAAGTTGGCGAAAGCTAGACGAGCCTTCTGTATCCGTGCTGAGATTTCGTCTGACACCAGACCACAAGGGCTCATGAGACTCCCAAGATAAGTGAAGCTGTCAACACGCTCAACTACTTCACTCCGTATCATTAGTTCAGGTGTCGATGCAACCCAATCCTGAAGTAAAATTTTGCACTTCGAAGGAGAGAATCGCATCCCGAACATGCCTGCATTGTTGCTTATAGTGGTCAGAAAACTCTGCATTTTGTCAGTCTTCACCGAATAAAACTATGTCGTCGGCGTATTCTAAGTCAATAAGTGAGCCTCCCGGTAAAAGTTCAACTCCTGGAGATTGAGATGATGAAAGTGTTATCTCTAAAAGTATGTCAACGACAAAGTTAAACAAGAATGGTGAGAGTGGATAGTCCTGACGAACACCACTTGAGGTAACCAATTCTGATGACAGTTCGCCATAGGCTCTAACTCGACCAATTGTGTTCGAGTAGAGAGCCTTTATGAGTTAATGTACTCCTTTCAGTGACAAACACTGCCATAGAACCTCACGATCAACGGAGTCAAATGCCGCCTTAAGGTCAAGAAATACTGCTATTGTGGGACGTCTGAATTTGTGTCTATGTTCTAGAACCTGACGTAGGGTGAATATCTGGTCTATGCAACCACGTCCAGGTCGAAAACCAGCCTGGTTTTCTCTAGTCTGCTCTTCACGAGCTTTGGTTAGGCGACCTAGTATTATTGAAGCTAATATTTTAGACACTATATTAGTCAAACTGATCCCTCTGTGATTGTCACAGGAGGACTTTTGTCCTTTCTTATAGAGTGGCACAATCAGTGATTGGGACCAGTCAGATGGAATTACGTCCAGTTCCCAGATTCTACCTGAAGACCTCAGTCAATCTCACTGCTAGTACTGGACCAGCAACCTTAAAAATCTCAGGGGTCAACCTGTCAGGGCCTGCTGCTCTCCCTAGCTTCAGATTTCCTATAGCTTTTTCAACCTCACAGAGGGTTGGAGGACTTACATCAATTTGCCATTCAGGACGACTGGGGATCGTGGGTAATTGAAGTGTGGCTGAAGGCCAGTTGAACTGATCCCTAAAGTGTTCTGCCCATCGATCCAATCTCCTGGACTGAGAATGAATAATATTCCCATCTTTATCTGAGATGGTTTCCCTGATATTCGGGTTCCTAATACCGGTTTTTTTAACGAGTCTGAATAGCTGCCTACTGTTACCTATTGCCGCTGTCTTTTACATCTCTCTTGCTTTCGCCACCCACCACTGTTTACGATCATTGCGTAGGCTTCTTATAAGCCTGCGCTTAAGTTGACTCCGCTCTTCGTTATGCTCAGAGCTAGGTGGGATGAGTTTACGAGCATCTATCAGTGCGGTAGATGCTGCCGAGATCCATTGTTTCTCCCTGACCTCATGGTTTACCTTGCTAGCGGATATCACTGCTGTTTCCACAGCTTTTCGGATGTCAGTCCACGCTGCCTCGGGGTGGACACAACTTACATGGCTGCCTAACTGTTTTTCTAGTTGTTCCTGAAATATATTCTTAGCTTGCCTATCATTAAGTAGAACCCTTAGAGGCTTCCCTGCAGTGTCTTTCCTACGACCAGTAAGACGCAGACAGATACGTGCTCGCACTAGAGCATGATCTGAATCTAAACATGTGCCCCAGTCTTCTATCGAGCCCTTCCATCGGTGGCTGATAGCGATGTGATCTAGTTGGGTCCAACGTTGGGACGAATTCGGGGGTCGCCATGTCAAAAGATGTTTTTCCTTATGCTTAAAGTTAGTATTTGCAAGAAATAGGCGGTTATCTGAGCATAGCTGCAACAGACGGTCGCCATTATCTGTTCTTTTCGCCATGACACCATAAGATCCACCCAGGTGTCTTTCCCTTTCGTTTAGTTTACCTACTTGAGCATTAAAGTCACCTGCTACTATTACTACATCAGAACGCCTAGCTTCTCGGAGAAGGTCAGAAAGTTTCCTGTAAAAATCATCTTTTATATCGTCTGAGCTGCAGTCAGTGGGAGAGTAGGCAGAGACGACGAAGAGGCAACGACGAGCTTACCTATCTTTCCGGGTCCTTACTGATCCGTTTAGTCGGACAGCGCATAGACGACTGTCTACTGGGATCCAGTCTAAAAGAGCTAGTTCTGCCCTACGACTTAATGCTATACCTACTCCAGTGAGGCCACGGGAAGCAGCGTCAGGGCTTCCAGATACACGAAGCGTGTATCGAGATGAAACTTTATTTTGATTAGGTGAGATCAAATGAATGACACTACTCGGATCTTGTATGCGCGTTTCGGAGACGCAGCACACATCGATGGTGTAAGATTCTAGAGTCCTAGCTAAGGAAGCCTGTTGTCCTATTTGGCACAATGTTCGGACATTAAAAGTTCCTATATGTAGTTTAGAGCGTGGTTTCAGGAGACCAGGAATAACGTTCTGTGTACTCGAATCGCTTGCCCTAGCGGTGCGAGGTGATAAAAGGACGTGGGAAGGGTTAGTCGTGGAGATAAGAGAGTTATTAGGAGGTGTAGGAAGGATTTGAAAGCGACCAACTTGGTCTCGTGTGCAGTTAAGGATATGAGGGCTAGTATCACTTCCCGGCTGCCCACACCGTGGAAGGGTATTTCTTGAGGGACCTGAAAATGAAGTTGGATTAGTGTTGGTCTTAACGACCTGGGAGCGTGACCGCAGTGCCCAAGGGACAACTGCTTGAGGTCGGTTACACACGACCTTTTTGTGGAGGATTTTTGACGTGTTAGCTCCGTTCTTCAAAAAACCTTACCGCCGGAGACGGAAATCCGTGGGATAAGGCGAGGTGTGCATTTTTAGGGTCGACCTTTTCTAACCCCACCCCTCTTTATGGGAAGGCAGCATCGCTGTCATGCTGGTTGTCTGAAGGAAACACCTTACTGCTATCACACCTCTGTACAGTCAGCAGTACGACTTCGCCTTCAGACCTCGGGATTGCTGCTTTTAGTCTCACCGCTCTTCAACCGACCTGTCTGGCATGGTAGGACCTTGAGGAACGATTGTTCCAGCCAGCATAGCTCAATTGAATCATCACGATAGGCAAGCCCGACCACCACGTCAAGGTAGCAGCAACGGTCGGGAATTGTAGACATAAACATGGTCAACAATGTAAAAACCTACAATAACTTAAGCAGACTGTCTTTCTGATAGATGTAGGTCTATGTCATAGGGTAGTCGAAAAGAAAGACATCCTCTACACCTTACACTGAGAGATTTAATTAACCTATGGATTGAAAATTGAAGTATAATCCACACACGCGCGCCCACAGACAAATGTAAACCAGAATCGTCTTTAGATTGAGATTCAATCAGACTGATTTTAACTCAACCAATGGTCTTGACCTTATGCATGCATCGCTAAACATCATAACAAGTTAGCAAGGTTGCGTTATCCTATTTGCTTATAATAAAAAGTGAATTATTCAGAATTCACTTTTGACCAGTGAGTCCATCGGAAGAAATGGTGCTATGACCTAGTGGTCCAATGGGTTCAAAAATTCAAGTATCCCAAGTGTCCCAGGTATGAACTCTTCTACATGTATTTCGATCCGAGCAATTAGGTAGTAGCATGATTATCTCTCTTACACTCAGAATGTAGCTCATACTCAGTTAGAAGACCAAATAATTATCTAAGGTAATAAACACTTTATTTAAACGAACAAAAAAATACCAAAAAAAAACGAAAATCTGCACCTTTTTTGTGTAAAGGTTTTCATTGTTTGTTTGTTTTTTTTAAATAGAAAAAGTTGCATACAAAAAAAGATACTTAAAAGTTGTTGTTTTTTCTAACGTTTACGTATAGTATTTCCAGCCCAATCAATTTTATTTGTATTTTTTAAGAAATTTAATCCATCTTCGAAATTTTCACGTGTAATCATACGTTCAGAACGTGCACGTAAATCTTCTAGTACACGTGAATAAACAAAAGTTAATACACGAGGACGTTCTTCAAGAAGTGACCATATTGCCATTGCCATTTCTTCACGTCGTTTACGTACACTACTACTGATACCTATTTCAAGAGAGGAAAGTTAAAAATGAAAAAAAAAAACAATAGAGGGGAAGGAAGAATTTCGATGAATGTTGTATAGTAAGGGTAATATTGCACTATATTTCCCTAAAAGTAATGTTTATAATGTAGTCTAAGAAAATGTTTATACCTCATGAACTGACGTCAGTTACATAACCCTTAAAAATCAGGAACCACTGCACAGATATTTCTTTTTAGTGCGAAACTTCGCAGGAGTGAGCGTTTAAGAAGCCGGGACCTTTAGATATCACGACAAGCCATTATCCTTTAACCTAATGAGTCAGTCACTATACCATTTTATCACGAAATGAAATTAACAAGTTGAATAGTGATTTATAGCTCAGGTGAATGATTTTGGTGAAGTTTTGTTCCCTGAGCTGGATGGTTTAGTCGTGGAGCTCTCACTATTTTTCTGAACGCCATCAGGATAAACTTCAGGTAGAAGTGAAATACTTGAATCTTCTCATATATGGCTAACAGCTAGTTCCGAAGACCCTGATTTTGATTGTGTATTGTTGACCTTTGACCTGTCACTTTATTTTAACTAGATTTCCTTTCGATTTGATTATCAGTCCTATATTCGTTTATGATTTTTCTGATCGGTCGATAAATTGGATTGATTTTCATATGTTTGTAGATTGCAGACTAACCTGAGTGCCAAGCTTCTAAAAGTCCTCTAGTATTCCCTATAATCAAGACTTCAACCCTTTTCCAGTTGAATGTGTATCCACAATTGCGGTGTGTGATTGTTAATTGATGTTTATGCAGACAAAGGTGAATGGGGTGTCCATTTTGTCCGATGTAGGTGTTTTTCGCAAATGGAACAGATTATTTTGTAGATGATATTCGACTTTTCTTCTTTTTCTTTACTTTGTTTTTTAATTTGCATAAGATTGATTGAAGTGATTCTGCTGATTTGTATAAGTCATGAATAGTAGTAAAAGGTTGAAATCATGTAATATCAATCCATAATGAGAAAATTATCAGAACTCAACATCTAAAGTAATGACAAAGAGTGAATACATCTACGCCATTGTGTGATTGATTCGGAGCCATATCACCCAACATCTTGAGTCATATTGTGCAGGTTCCAACCAGTTAGTGTCTGCATCTACCCAAAAATGGCTCAGACCATCAATTAATGATATGTTGTAAATAACCTATTAAAATTCAATGTTTATAAAAGAAAATTCCACGAATTTGTAAACGTTCTGTCTGTGCTACAACTATTACCCATCACATCTATACTTTCTGATGAAATGGTAGGCTAGCCATAATATATTTGATTACAACTATAATTTATTGACTACTATAGAACATAAGATGAGTTTATAGGATAGATCAAAATATTATTAAAATTTAGACTGATATTAATTTATAATTAAATCTAGACTACTGTTTTAAGTAGTTAAATGTTGTATACCTGTTGTTAAAATATTGATATCGATAGTGCCAGTAAGAGGATCAATAGCTGCTTGTTTTAATGCTTCACGTTGTAAACGTCGAGCTTCACGACAATCATCAGCCGTAACATGATTTGATAATCGTAAACGAGCATGAGCTTCAGCTAAACGTACAAGTGATTCAAGTTGACGAGGATATGCGGATATCTTATAAGGTTGGTAATAGAAATAATAATAATAATAATAATAATAAATATAAGAATTATAAGAGTTAATTGCAAGATTATACGAGAATAAAAAAACAAAACAAACCTATTCCAATTTCGTAATACATTCTGAGAATGAAATAGAATAGAAATGTAATAATACAACATGAGAAAAGTTTATGTTTACTGTGTTTAGAATTCAGTTTAGTTAATGTATACTCTATAAGTTAAACTAGATAGAAATTAATGGGACTAATGGTCAGAATACCAAAGTTTATTACAGTATCGTATATAGTGATATTAAAAGTGGTATTCACCTTATCACGTATGAAGTTTATTATATGAAATTATAATAATTATCATTTTTATATTAAGCTGTAAGTCAAGTTAGGAACAATAACGGGTCAGATTGCATGCATATACCACACAACTCTCTTTGAACTTAGCACAATGTTGGAGAGATCCAGAGTAATCCTCAAAAAAGTTCAGAGGGGCCCCGAAAATCTCGAGAAATATTTCACCCAACCAGCGTTGAATAGAAGTTTCTCGGAAACGTTTAGAAAGTGAAGTCACGTGTCACATTTCTAATTGGATGGTGCTCTATTCTGACCTGGTTGGAATAACAGAACTTCAATGAACAAGAATTCCAACCAATCTAGCCCGACTGAATGGTGCTAGGAGGATTAACAACAATCCAAACTTTGAAATAGTCTTTTATGGACGGGGCTATACGACCTAAATATGTGACAGCTTCGAAGAATATTTCCGATAAACTGAAAGGACAAAATTTACTAACAATTGAGGCAACAATGGTATGAGACACTTCCAAAGTTAGAAAAACGAAACCAAGGAGGAGTATTGGTTCATTCATGTTCTCCTAGTTTTTTTTACATCTTTCGTAACAAAAAAAATTGTAACTAACTATTAAAAAAAGGAATGGCAAATAGGTATTTTTAGTTTACAAAACGGATTAATCATAGTCAGACAACCACTGAAAACCAGTTCAAACATGGGACTTCTCGGCAGTACTAACCTCGAGATCTACGTAAGATCCCCAGTAGGATCGTGGGTGCGCACTTTTAAGGAGCCCTATATTAGGACAAAACAGCTTTCTAATGTGTCCTGGTTTTTAGTGGTTGTTTAACTAAGATCAGTCCGTGATGTGACCTATAAAATTGAGCGATCCCTAAAACGCTCGAAAATAAGAATCAATATATAGACGAACGGTGATAGAAAATTATTCTGTAATCTTCAAAAGTATATGGGTTAATTGAAGCAACACTGATGACATGAAAAAGTGGTGATACAATAAAGTAATCATTAAGTTACCTGTCCACGACCTGAACCCAGTTTTCGCATTTCTACATACTCACGAACTAAATATTCACCGGCTTCTTCCGTTAGTTTTGGAAAATATTTCATCTTAAATAGAAATTAAGGTGAAAATACCATTTTATCGGTTATTACTGTTACTAGAGAACACTAAGAAAATCTTCGGTAAAATCTGTCTTCATTTGTTATTGAACATTTTACGGTTCTGATGAAGGACTTAATGTGAATGGTCATTAGTTCTATAAGAATGCCTAGGGAAAAAATAGATTGACACGCTAAGCCAGTCGTACATACAGCAAATGATAACGGGGTGGTGACAGACGTGAACGCTACTGGTTAGGATTCGGTTTGACTATCTAAAGGACATACATCTATGTTTGAAAATGTGTTGTGGATAATATTCTCGATTCGGTTAGCCAACAGCTTTATACTTCCGGTTTTTTCACTCAAGTAGTTCATTAAGCTCCCGTATAGGAAGCGCATATAACAGTAGCAGAATTGGAAGGCCACAAAACAAAATATAAATAAGACAGTTTGCCATTAAATGTGATGCGGCAAAGTGTCTAAGTAAAGGAATTTCAGTATGTTCATGTGATTCATTAGTATACCTTTCACTGATAGACTATTGAAAAGAAATCCCGACTACCAAAGTCAAATGGATCGTCCAAATAAAAATATGATTACAATCGATTATCAGTAAGGAGTATATATTTGGAAACTTATTGAAGAGGGAATACTCTATTTGTATTTTGCGAGACAATAATTTAATTAAAATATACTCTGAAATAATTGGCCCCCAAATACCCTAGTTCGGACGAGGGTTGGGAAAGTCAGCTCTACCTCTAGAAATGGCCTCACATGACCACACATATACAGACACTGACAAAGAATTTCTACTTACTGCCTTCTCGCGATGAAGGTGCCTTTTACGAAATTAAGAAGACGAAAATCTAATGTCCAACACTTTAACCGTGTTAGTGTATATAGAGGACCCGCCTAGGAGAGTTGGAAAACTCTGACTTTAAACCAATCGTTCACATGCGCTCCAGAATCCTGAGGGAACAAATGGCGTATGAACCCATTGTTGGTCACTGGCTACCACGGGACTGCATCTCCTGACGTTGTTCCACTGTACTGTGGATCAGACCTTTAGGTCGAAGGCTCGGGGAGTGACCGCCTAAGAAAACCATCTGATTCGGTTTGGGCATCCGGGCAATATTTCAGTCTTCACACAAATCGGATAACGAATTATGGTGCATATATATTTGGTTCCTCCTTATACCAATGTTTATGTATTTAAATAAATAATTGATGAAAATCATAAGATTTAATTTTGACTATTTATTGACTCCAATCAATTAGCAACTGTCACAACAGATGGTTATACATACAAGGATTCAAACTTGTACTACCGGTCAGAATTGAATTTAAACTTGATCAGTAGAAAGTTATAAGTAGTAATTTCAAATAAAAACAGTATTGTAGTATTTATTATTCAGTGACTAATGTTCTTAAAGTATGAAATGAGTACAAACGATTTCAATTAGTAAGAAAGAAGCCTTGCAAGGTATCTTTTAGAAAGCATAGGATATAATTATCTGTTAAGGTAAGCATAGCATTATTAAAAGAGATTTTCTATTTCAACTTATTATTATTTATACTACAATGCCTCTTCGTTTAAATGTTTCGTGCAAGTTTTATTGAAAGTTAACTCTGTCTACCTTAGCATATGCTATATAATCCTTCAAGAGTTTTCCGTTTACAAATGATGGGTCATCATCAGTTTGACTATCCATGTCCAGTAGAACAGCTCCTGGACGCGGTCTACGTGCACCTCGAGTATTATTATTACTGTTGGTTGGAATATCCTGACTGCTTTCAATCTGACTTGGAGTAGTACCACGATAATACAAACCAACCAAATGTCTGGCTAATCTTGTATCATAAACTTCATCTTGTGGATCCAATATAAGAAAAATGAGATCGAATCTTGATAGAAGAGTATGAGGTAACTAAAAATATTAAAAACATAAAGAAATGATGCACCAACTAGGTTAACAAGTTACTAAAAAACAATATGGTAATGAACAAAATAAATAATCGTTTTAAAGACCTCGCCCGAATTACCACGGTAGGGTTGAGGGTGAAGAGAGATCATTCTCTCACATACCCAGATGTTCGTAGCAAGTATCAGAGACTTCTTACTCACTGCATTTATGTGGTGAGGGTGTGCTTTTTACGAAAATGAGAGGATGAAAAGTGAAGGGTCTGTGTTTAAATTGGAATAGTGGATACGAAGGATCCACCTAGGGAAGTTGGAAAACCCTGATTTTAAACTAGTAACATACATTAGCATACATGGAGCATCAACTTCCTTTTGGTTAACGTCAACCACAAGATAGAACCTCTTGACGCTGTTGCACTAAATTGTTGATTGGATACCTTTAGGTTTGAGGTCTATGAAGTGACCTCCTTAAACAATCACCTGCTTTGATTCGAACAACAGGGTAATGAACTAGCCTTTAGACAAATATTATAAGTTATGTGGCGCATAAGACTAGTGTAACCCAGTTTTAGCATATTTTATGTGAAGTAAATAATATGACAGAGCAACGGAGATTGATACTATTGAGAGAAAAATTTTGATCAGGTATTAATTACTTATATGAGTTTTCTAACGGGCAATAAATATATTTCATGAAGTTAGTTATATTTTATAACCAAGTGGTGCCCAAACTATGGTCAATGTGTCAAAGCCACCCGAAAGGAGGTAATTTAAAACCGTTTTAGAGAAACGTAAAACTTTATATTAAAATCGTGGGAATTAAGTTCAGTCTCCTGCTATTTGACTGTACTTATTTCTTCATAGTGAGTAAATAAATAGTCCCTCCGAAATGTATTCAGGAATGTATAAACCAGACTTTAGCGCTCAGGGACAAACTCTGACGATGGTTAAAAGTTTTCAAAACGTTTAGATCCTAGCTTAATTTGTTGACTTCTTTTTTATGTTGAGGTAGACTATAGTGAATTCTTCAAGCCTGCAATACTGAACATATTCTACTCGCCACTGACAGAAGACATGTTTCAGAGTTAGAGTGATTTTGTACAGAAATTTTCCGTGTCTTATGACCAGGTGACATTTGAGAATAATATTTCTCATGTTTGGACCTTAATAACTTAAAATTTAGATCTGAACTGACGGATATGAATCTAGAGTTAGTCAGCTGACTTTTGATTACCAAGCACAAGTGAAAAAACGGGAAGTGGTACCTATTAACGCTGAATATCATTTAAGTAGTTTATTAGTTTCGTTAGTAAATTACGAATTTCAGTATGTTGATGCAAAATACTTTATATATGTGCCCCAAATCCTAATGTAGTAGTATTTTGGTTTATTCTAACTGCTTGATACAAAAAGAGAACGGTTGTCTATCTCAGCTACTGGTTAAAGTGATTTAAAATAAAGTATTCCAACAATACCCGATCGTTGCTGCTACCTAGACGTGGTGGTCGGGCTTGCCTATCGTGATGATTCAATTGAGCTACGCTGGCTGGAACAATCGTTCCTCAAGGTCCTACCATGCCAGGCAGGTCATTTGAAGAGCGGTGAGACTAAAAGCAGCAATCCCAAGGTCCTAAGGCGAAGTTGTACTGCTGACTGTACAGAGGTGTGATAGCAGTAAGGTGTTTCCTTCAGACAACCAGCATGACAGCGATGCTGCCTTCCCACAAGGAGGGGTGGGGTTAGAAAAGGTCGACCCTAAAAATGCACACCTCGCCTTATCCCACGGATTTCCGTCTCCGGCGGTAAGGTTTTTTGAAGAACGGAGCTAACACGTCAAAAATCCTCCACAAAAAGGTCGTGTGTAACCGACCTCAAGCAGTTGTCCCTTGGGCACTGCGGTCACGCTCTCAGGTCATTAAGACCACTTCTAACCCAATTTCCTTTTCAGGTACCCCTAGAAGAACCCTTCCACGGTGTGGGCAACCGGGAAGTGATAACTGCCCTCATACCTCTAACAGCACTCAAAACCACTGTATTCATTATCAATCTCCTTCTTCAATTCCTACTATTCCTTCTAGCTTGACTTTCAACACTAAACTTCCTCTTCCGGTTTCCTCCTCAAGTGTCACCATGGCCAACGATTCTAGTGCGCGAAACGCTGTCCCAGGGCTACTAAAACCTCGCTCCAAACTACACATTGGAGCCTTCAACGTACGTACCTTATGCCAAATCGGTCAACAGGTCTCCTTAGCCAAAACCTTAGAATCTCGTACCATTGATGTATGCTGTGTCTCCGAAACACGGATACAGGATCCTAGTTTTGTCATTCACTTGACCTCACCTCGCCAAAATGGACACCCAACGAAATACACCCTCCATTTTTCTGGCGACCCGTTGGCTAGTTCTCGTGGACTTGCAGGTGTAGGCATAGCACTAAGTACAAGGGCAGAACAGGCACTATTAGAATGGATCCTCGTTAACAGTCACCTGTGTGCTGTCCGGCTAAATGGATCCGTAAGAACTCGAAAGGATAGGGACACACGTCGTTGCCTTTTCGTCGTTTCTGCCTACGCTCCCACTGACTGCAGCCATGATGAAGTAAAAGATGACTTTTACAGAAAACTCTCTGAGCTTCTTCAGAAAGCTAAGCGATCAGACATAGTAGTCGTAGCGGGTGACTTTAATGCCCAGATAGACAGCTTAAATCAAACAGAAAGACATTTAGGTAGGTGTTTTAGTATTCCGGCTCAACGAACCGATAATGGCGATCGTCTGTTGCAACTATGCTCAGACAATAGTTTATTTCTAGCAAGCACTAATTTTAAGCATAAGGAGAGACATCGTCTAACATGGCGACCACCTGCACCAAACCAACGATGGACTCAAATAGACCATATTGTCATCAGTCATCGTTGGAGAGGCTCAATAGAAGATTGTCGCTCGTATTGGAATATTTGTTTAAACTCTGATCACGCTTTAATACGAGCACGCATTTGCCTGCGCCTCAATGGATGCAGGAAAAGTACACTAAGAAGACCCATTAGGATTGAACTGGAGGACGAGAAAGCCAAATGCGAATTCGAGGGACAACTGAGTTCACATCTAGGCAGTTCTGTAAACAAGACTGACACAGATGCTGCTTGGAAAGACATACGAACAGCTGTGGAAACAGCAGTTACATCTATCAGTCATTTAAACCATAGGGCTCCAAAAACCAGTGGATTTATTCTAAGTCTATTTCACTGATGGATTCGCGTAAACTCGTCCAATCAGGCTCTGAACACGACGAAGAGCGTAAACAAATTAGATTTAGGTTAACTAAAAGTCTAAGGAACGATCGTGAGCAGTGGTGGGCAACGAAAGCAAAAGAGATGGAAAAGACAGCCGCTGTAGGCAACACCAGGCAACTATTCAGACTAATAAAAGAAACTGGAATTAAGAAGTCAAGTGTAAGTGAGACGATCTCGGAAAAAGATGGAACCCTTATCTGCTCTCAACCCAAACGTTTAGAACGATGGGCAGAACACTTTAAGGAGCAGTTTAGCTGGCCTTCAGCTACTGCACAACTACCCACTATTCCCAGAAAACCTGAATGGAACATTGAAGTAGGCCCCCCGACCCTACTTGAAGTTCAAAAGGCTATAAGTAATCTGAAACGAGGAAGAGCAGCTGGTCTAGATGGATTGGCTCCAGAGGTCTTTAAATATGGTGGTCCAATTTTAGCGATTAGGTTGACTAATATTCTGGCTAAAATCTGGGAAACGGACGTAATCCCATCTGACTGATCAAAATCTCTGATTGTCCCAATATATAAGAAGGGGCCAAAATCATCCTGTGATAACCATAGAGGGATTAGTCTGACTAATATAGTATCAAAATACTAGCCTCAATAATTATCGGGCGCCTAACTAAGACTCGTGAACAGGAAACACGAGAAAATCAGGCTGGCTTCAGACCTGGTCGTGGTCCAATTTTAACAATTAAGTTGTCTAATATTTTAGCTGAAATCTGGGAGTAGGACGTAATCCTATCTGACTGGTCACAATCACTGATTGTCCCAATATATAAGAAGGGGTCAAAACCATTCTGTGATTGATGGTTTAGTTTGACCAATATAGCATCTAAAATACTAGCCTCAGTAATTATAGGACGCCTAACAAAGACTCGTGAACTTCAAACACGAGAAAATCAGTCTGGCTTCAGACCTGGTCGTGTTTGCATCGACCACATATTCATCATTCATCAAATTTTGGAATATAGACATGCTTATCGTCGTCCGACTTAAAAGCATCGTTTCACTCTGTAGATCGATAGGTTTTGTGGCAGTGTTTGTCATTGTAAGGTGTACCTCAGAAGTACATAAACCTTGTGAAGGCTCTTTACTCTAACACTACTAGTCGAGTGAGAGCTTATGGCGAACTGTTGTCTGATTTCGCAACCTCAAGTGGTGTCCGGCAAGACCGTCCACTATCTCCATTTTTGTCTAACTTCATCACAGACCTACTGCTGGAAATAACACTCGTCGACTGAATTTTCAGGAATAGATCCCCAACCAGGAGGTTCACTTATCGACTTAGAATACGCAGATGACATAGTCCTGTTTGGTGAAGACGCTGACAAAATGCAGTCTTCTGTTAGAACTGAGTAAAAATGCCAGGATGTTTGGGATGCGATTCTCCCCATCCAAATGTAAATTGTTACTCCAGGACTGGCCTGCGTCAACACCTGAACTAAGGATAGGGAGTGAAGTAGTCGAACGCGTCGACAACTTCACTTATCTTGGAAGTCTGATCAGCCCTAATGGGTTGGTGTCAGACGAAATCTCAGCACGGATTCAAAAAGCTCGTTTGGCTTTTGCCAACTTACGTCACCTATGGCGTAGACGAGATATCCGTCTATCAATTGGGGGACGAGTATACTGCGCAGCAGTTCGCTCTGTTCTACTTTACGGCTGCGAAACGTGGCCATTAAGATTAGAAGATACTAATAAGCTACTAGTATTTTAACACAGATGCCTTAGAAATATTGCTCGCATCTGCTGGGATCACCGGGTAAATAATAGTGAGGTTAGACGCAGGGTATTAGGGAATGATGGTAAATCAGTTGATGAGGTCATGAATCTTCATCGACTGAGATGGTTGGGCCACGTTTTACGTATGCCTAAACATCGATTACCACGACGCGCAATGTTGACTAGTGTAGGGGATGGTTGGAAGAGAGTTAGGGGCGACCAAACCAAAACATGGCATCAGTGCTTGAAGTCACTAACTTCTAGCCTGATCCATGTTGGTAGATGCAGACTACCTGGTTGGGGTCCGCGTGACTATCGTAACCAATGGTTGGAGACTCTGGGTGACATGGCTTAGAATCGATCACAATGGCGTAGGTGTATACACTCTTTATGTTCCCTTAAACCTTGAGATTAAAATTGCTTCATAACTTTTTTCCTTCCTATACTATATCCTTATATACAACCTATAATTTATATACTACCACCACTAAATTAATTACTTCTATGAATCCGGTGTTCCTCTTGTTATGCTAATGAGGTATGGCAACTTGGACCGATGCATAAATGTGCCTGGTCCTACGTTGTCGCTTACTGACTGATTCCAACAATAAGACTCTTTTAATCAGAAGGGGTTTTGTGGAGATTTCAGTATTTTCATAGTTGAAATCATGAGTCAATTGAGGCTAGACCACTATGGAAAACCTGGACGGGCGTTTCGTCCTATTTTGGAACTCCTCAGCAGTGCGCATCCACGATCCCGCACTCGCGAGATTCGAACCCAGGACCTACAAGACTCTTTAAGTTCAGAGGAATATATGAAAAATGCCTCAGGCCATGTATTATTTTATATTGACAGACAAAATAGCAAATTTATTTGTGTTAATAAACGAAAGTTATCATGAAAATCATAGATGATTAAGGTATTTATCATGTCAAGGTAGTTCTCAGTCAAATAACCAAGATAAAAAATCCATATGATATACATTGACGAAAATTTTGCAAATTAATATTATTAGTGTAATAAGTTTGTAGAAATTATTGAATTTGTTAGTTGATAACGTAGACTGGGCTTAGATAATCATAGTAAAACAGGAAACACTGGACAAAACCGTTTTGTCTTAGCATGGGACTTGTCAGCGCATTGCATTCATAATCCCACACGGGATCGGTTTCTGGACCCTTGGGTTTTAACATTAAGACAACTGAGATGATATTAAATAGTTCACATTTCTAGCTTCAACTAACTCGTAATGTTAAATGACCAACACCTATTGTGTCATTGGTGCGTAGCTGTCTCACATTCAAAACGGATGAACTTTATTAATGGAGAACTGACTGGTCATAGACGTAAACCATTAGACGCTAACTCAATTATCTAAAGGCTAAGTACTCGCCATGAGACCTGATGATCCTGGGTCCGATTCTAGGCAATGTTTCATATCAGGATAGTCTATCTAGTTTTTTTTTAACTCTTAATAGTTAATCAACTAAGGTCAGTCAGTGATTCTACTACTTAAGAAAGTTAAATAAAGTTGGTTACAAGAAGAATGAAATAAAAAATGAAGCAGTCACCTGTATATTGTCAATAATCGTTTTGCTAGGATCCCATTTAGAACCGATTGGATTAGCAGCTGCCAAAATTGAAGTTCTAGCATGAAGTTGACAAAGAATACCAGCTTTAGCAATACTTAAAGTTTGTTGTTCCATTACTTCGTGTAGTACAGAACGAGTTGAATCAGACATTTTGTCGAATTCGTCGATACAACATATCCCATTATCAGCTAATACTATAATTGCATAATAATGAAATAAGTAAATAATGTTGAAAAATTTCGAAACAAGGACAACACGTATCTGATCGTAGGAATTAAAAGAGCAACATTATATATTAACGGAATTGTGAGGTCAAGTAGCAGTGTATATGTAGTTCAGTAGCACAATTTCATCTTAATAAATTTATATTCGTGTAATAAATATATTAATTCACGAGAAATGGACCTTATTTTAAAACTACAAACGCTTGGTGTAATTGTATTCACTCGGAAATGAGACTGGAAATAATGTAATTAGAAGAAAAACAATGAACTTATAGGTTGATAAAAGATGGTTTAATGAGAAAAAATAACCACCGTTAATTTCATTTAGTTACGAAGTATCATCTTATTTTCATGAAGAATATAATAGACAACCCCACTTATTTCCATTCTAAACCATGTCTGATTAGATTCCTAGACATTAGGTTGTATGATCTTCAGGATCTCACTGAGCCATGATAGACCGACAGATACCAGTCTTATGCGGCTATCCCTCACTTTACAAAGCCATATTATTAACTGGAAAATCTCTACCTTTTTCATTTAGCTGAGGTGTTGAAAATTGATGAACAGTATGGAAGCAGCTGAAATGACAATTGCGTAAGATAACCAAATCAATTGAGTGGGCGGTTTAAAACAGTGATGTCAATTAATTTCTCATCATTATACCTGAATACACATTACAAGACCCTGGTATCGTTACATCATATGAGGAATACTGCAGAAGCAACAATGATAGAGCTCGTACAGTACGACTATTTGCACCGAAACTTTGGATACCTGACCTTTTACGAATATACTAATGGAACGATAACACTAGTGGTAGTTCAGATAGCCAAAATCTACTCTGGCTTTTACTATGCATGAACAGAATTAATCTCCCGTAACATCACAGACATTCATACGAACTTTTCAACGACATCCAATGGCTTTTCCCAAAGGATGATTGCAAATACAGGTTTATTTTAGTCTTGTAGAACTATCTTTCATCACCAAAGTACAGAGTACACACCATACTTAGAGATACAGATTGTTAACTAATTTAATAGGACTCAAGTAACTTGCATATCATTGAAAGTCACCATTCGCAAAATTGCAGTCGAGTTTTTTTTCCAAATAGCTGACAATAGTAGACTTTGACATTGCATGAATTGAATTTGCTGGGGTATAATATTGTAAAGCTTCTGGTAACTTATTAAACAACAAACAAAAAACACTGGACTCGAGGAAAATGGGTAGTTTTAGATTAAAATAGTGTTTGCTTTGAAGGTCCAGTTTAAATGTGTAGATGACTTTAACTTGGAGATGATTGAACAACTGAATGTCAGAAGTGGTTGATAAACGTAAATTGTTTTTTAAGGGAAAACTGAGAATAAGAAAAATACAATATAGTGATTCTATGCATATTTGTGTAGTTGGTAGTAAACTGTATACGTTTTATGGTAGTTAACTGAAACAAATGAATCCTTTAATCAAGGCGAGTGAAGTTTACTTCATGAAATAAAGGGTCTAGATGGTCGAACAACAATTAAGAAGCTTTAAATGATTAAAAGAGTAAGAAATTAACAAGTGATCCTAAAGTTTCTTTCAAATTATGGCATGCTGAATTGAGATGTCACGTTTGGATGTTAACGATTAATTAAAGTGTTGCGGTCAAGGGTTGCTAATTATGAGTGTAAGAAAAATATACATAATATTAGCAGGATATAGGTTGGATTTAAGCATATTCCATACAAGATTATGTTGGAGAATGTTCTAGAATCTTTTTTGTGTAAAATTCTAAATATACTGATTTTTGACTGCGATTCATTCCCATCCACCTTTGTTTATATGGGGTATAACTATGTACTTGTCCAAGATATATTCTGATTTGGGGGACTAGTAGAGTGAGGTAAAATGTCCGAAAAATACCAAGTAATAAGTATATCTAGGTCGGATAACAAAGGACTTAACACATGAAAATGACGATATATGATTATACGCAATTTTAACGAGCCAACTACACACTGGAAGGTATTGGTGAAATAATACCAAGTCTGAACATAAAGTATCACGTTTATGATCCGCAATTTGAATAGATAAAGTCAGTAAACTTCACTCAGCCAAGGGTTAGAGAATGCTTTAGCACTTATCGACTACACCAGGAATGAGAAAAGACCGAGATCATTTAGGAAACAAATGTAAAAAATAAAAAAAGTTTCTGGAAGTAAAAAAGCGATTAGCTTGATGAGACGATTAGTTTAGGAACTTTGGCTTATGTGCATTTTCTGTCACTTTCTACACGTTGTCTACAACTAACTGATTGGCTATGATGTAGAAATATTTGTATTTGTTTATTTATTTTTATCTTTGAAGTTAGTTTTACTTCTTGACTGGTTCTATGGCGAATGAAACCAGTGAACAGTTTTTAAGCGTGCACTTAGTTGAATTGAAGTTAAGATGATATGTCAACATATTCAGTGCTTGGAGGAGGCCAGGAGGAAACCCTGGATTTAGCTTTCGTGCTAGTTGGTACTCGTCAATAAGACGTACTTAGGGTTTTAAAGAGACTGATGTTCGCTGTAGAATCAGTGCACAGAATGTTGATTGCGTGGAGTAGTGTTAATTTTGGAATTTAATCGTTAGAATATAATGAACACTAAACGGACCAGACAAATATGACACTAACCACTATTCAGTGATCGATCAATTGTACATATCAGTCTATTTGTTCTCCACATAGCTCCATACTAAATTTCGTTTCGCTAGGTTTGTAAGAATTAATGACATGTAGCGCGTTACATGATAAAATGAAGAACAATGATGAATAACAAACACTGTTCATTAACCAACTAACCTAATGCTCCAGTTTGCAGTGTTAATTGGCGCGTTTCTGCATCTTTTGTAATGTAGGCTGTTAAACCGACAGCAGAGCTTCCCTTGCCAGAAGTATATTGACCACGAGGAGTAAGACGGTATACATACTGCAGAAGTTGAGATTTTGAAGTACCTGGGTCACCACATAAAAGTATGTTGATTTCAGAACGAAAATCACCACGTCCTTTAGCAGTGAAGTCTTTACGTGTACCACCAAATAACTATAATAGAGGCAACAGAAAAATATAACATGAATTAGACACCAATAAAATAACTGGAAAGTATCAGGTTGGATGTTGACAACTGAATTCACTTTTGCTGGATTGATTGAACGTTTGCCCAATCAGTTTCTATGATGATGTAACTCAACATGTAGAAGTTATTATGTACTCAGCTCTGAGAAATACATCTAAAGTATGAGCAGGCTAGTAATACCTACTGCTTGGTTGCCTCCAAGGGTCCTAATACTGTCGAGGGTGGGGAGAGTCACCTCTACCTCTCGAAATGCTCTCACATGGCCACATATATACAGACACTGAAAAGGAAGTCCCACTTAGGAGAGTCCGGAAAATTTGATTCCAAACCAATGGTGCACATAGGCTCCAGTACCCTCAGGAAACAAATGGCGTATGGAACAATTATTGGTCACCAGCTACCATGAGACTGCATCTCCCACTGTTGCTCCACTGTACTGTGGATCAGACCTTTAGGTCAAAGGCTCGTGGAGTGGCTGCCTAAGAAAACTACCCGTTTGGGTTTGGGTATCCGTGCAGTATTTCAGTCTTCACACAAATCGGATGACGAATTATGGTGCATATATATTCGATTTCTCCTTGTACCACTATTTATGTGCTTAAATAAAAAATGCCCAAATAGATGTAGGGGTAGAGTGGTTATCCAGAACTAGGAACCTGGTATTGATTTAATACATAATGCTTTAACCACTCAGTACCACATAGGAAGTGCAGCTTGGAATAATAGTTTAAGGAGAAATTTTAAAAAAGTACACTACCTGCAAATTAGTTATTGAGATGAAGTCTATCAGAGACGATTTCAACTACAACCCTTTTTAGAAGATGCACCTCATCACTACATATAACAGATCTGAGTACTCAACAATAAACTACGCATACTGGTTAATTCTAATGATCAGAGTGAGATCTTAACATGTGATCAATTGACTGAAGTTGAGTGTGGGGATACATTAACGAATGCATTAAAAATGTAGTTCAATGAAATGAACATGACTAAATACAGAAAGTGATCATCAAAGAATAATATTCACTTTCTCCTTAGTTAACGTTATTTTTTTCCAGAGTTCATGGAAATCTGTAATGCATAAGAAGCTAACAGATTTCCTTTTTTCCCAGTTGGATGTATTTGTTCTGAACACTATCCTAGACTTAGACAACGATGTGTATGAAGAAACCTCAGTATATAAGTAAACAATTATGGGAAATGACTAAACAGTTTTACAATATTCTCTAAAGTTAAATAAGTTTAGTAAAATGATAAATATCTAGATAAATGATATCTGATAATAGAATCAATTAACAGTACTTACTGAAATTGAATAAGCTTTGAAAATATTAGTACTAACTGTTAATTTATGATACTGACTTGATTAACTAAGATTTCAAGTGACTACATTATAAAAATTATTAATCATTTTTTTACTGAAGAAAAATACTCTTATACCACCAATCCTGGAAGACTGAAACATGCACTTGATAAACTGAGAAAGAAGTTCAATCCAATCTTAGTGAAATAGTATGTAATTAGTGAGCATCTAAAACAGCAGTATGAGTTGATATATGGCGACACCATATTGGTAAGGTGATAATGTTACGGTTGAAATTGTCTAACATAGACTACTACTGCAGTCAGGGTGAAAAAAAAACATTCTATATGATTTTAACATATCATTTGTTGTAATTGTACCTACGCAAGTGGTACATTTCTGAGTGCGGTTAAGTACATAAAGCGTTGGCGATAACTCCCAGGTTCGAACTCCACTCTGCCCATTTCAGTTCGAGCGGCTAACCAGGTAGGTAGGTATCACTAGCTCGTAGCTAAGTACACGAATCTATACTTGATAAATGAGTTAATAACACCTCTGATCGAAGAAATGAAACTTACTTGTAAAAGAATACCCTTTTTAATGTCTTCATTTTCATAAATTGTTGGTGCGATACCAGCAGCAAGTCGTTCATATAAATCAGGTTTACGTGCCAGAGTATGAAATTCTTCAATACGTTCTTCTGTGAATTGACGTAAAATATGAGCTTCCTCACTAGCAGTATTCTCGTCAGTAGCGATCCCATCATTCTGAACTCGATCATCGCCTTCTCGACTAACAGAAAAATTATACGTAAACTATGTTTAGACAGAAACAATCAACTCACATAAAAATGGTGAACATAAATGATTATATTATTTTGATGTTTGTAAGGAGAAATATATGCTGAAATGGATCTGATCGACAAAATTGGTTGATTTATCGGTAAACATCTTTGGTATGGGTGTATTTTCATAATCATCAGTAAGATAGGAGCAATGAGTATAGGGAGTGTATATTGTTTGCTGTCTAGTGATACATCGTATACGCTGGGAAAGATATAATTCAGCAAATTCCCTGTACAAAGAATTGAATATCCGTTATACATTGTCAGTCTATTACTTGAAATAAATATGCACTGGATTGAGTCGTCATAAAACATTAGTGTAGTGAGATGTTAACTGGTGGGTGGCCAAACAGAAATGTGGCATTAGTCCGTGAAGTCACTGACTGTTGGTCTGAGCCAAGTCAGTAGGTGCAGACTATCTGAATGGATAACAATAATCTATGATTGGAGACGTTGGGTGGTGTGACTCATAGTTGGCCACAACGGAGCAGATAGATTTCCTCTTTCTCTAGATCTAGAGTCTGAGTGTTCCTCTATACATACCTTTTTCATGTCTATTCAAACACCATTCTTTCTGGTTATCATTGCTACTAAATTAATTCAATGTCTTAGCTACTAATCTTGGTAATTTTTCTTTCATTGTGCTATTGTGTTATGGCAACTTAGAACAACATACATTTGTCCCAGACTCTATGTTGATTATGATTAACTGATAAAGTGAGATGAATAACAAGAAAAAATAGTTGTATCAATAATAATTAGAAAGATTAAGCATAGGGAACATAATTCAAAAATACAATAATGAACTTGAGATTTAAGGAGAAATAAAATACATTCAACTAGCCAACTGGGACCGAATTTAAGCCATATCACTTACATCCTTCAACTACTGATCGCGTAAGCACCAACCAGATAGCATACACCTAGCCAAGACGAGGGGTACCTAGCCTGTCGTATGCCCTGATGATGTTTTCGTGACTTTCGGGTTGCCTGATCTGTCAAGGGCGATGGGACAGTGCATGACGTTATTGTTGTGTGCTAGGTTCAAAGAGAATTGTTTGCTATATGCATGCAAATCCGCCCCGTTATAACTCCTTGCCCCCAAATGTCCTGGTACGGCCGAGAGTGGGGAGAGTCCACTCTCCCTCGAAAAATGCTCTCACATGGCCACGCGTATACGACCTCAGTCAGGGAAGTCTTACTCACACCACGGGTGTTGTTTACGAAATTGAGAGGACGAAAAGCGAATGTACGACACTTTAACTGGGTTGGTGGACACAGAAAGTCCACCTAGGGCAGTTGGAAAACTCTGATTTTATACCAATGGTGCACATGGGCTCCAGTACCCTGAGGGAACAAATAGTGTATGAACCAATCGTTGGTTACCAGCTACCATGGGACTGCATCTCACGATGCTCCACTTTCTTATGGATCAGACATGTAGGTCAAAGGCTCCGGATGTGGTCCCCTAAGAAAATCACCTGCTTCGGTTTGGGCAACCGGGCAGTATCACAGCCATCACACAAATAAAATGAGATTTGTGTGGCGCATATGTATCTTGTGCCCCTTTTGTACCAATGTTTATGTTTAAATTTCATAGACCATGCTTCACAGATATATAGTAAAACAGAGGGGACTGCTGTGAAGTTCATTCACCATGAATTGTACCAGAACACTATTAAATCACAGAAAATTATTTGAAAACTATTGTTAAATTTATAGTTGTATTATATGAGTAAAATATTCAGATGTCTGTAAAATATTTTGGAGAATTAAACATGATTTGCTTAACTATGATAAATAGTGAGCGATTGAGTCACTTGATCAAATCAGTCAAATGCCCAAATGGTAATCCAGAAACTTATGTTCTGAACATTAAAGCATTCTTCTCATCTTTATAAACAAAATAAGTTTAAAAAAACTTTTTTAGAAAACCATAAGAACTTTTTCATTAGGGGTACCTATAAGTTACATTACTTTGCCGGGGGAATATTTTAGTGAACTTGTTGTAGAGTAAGTGGATTTTAAAAACACCTAACTTGTGTACATTTAAGATAATCAAATGATTTTAGCTAAAAAACAATAGAAACACCAAAACTTACAGAAAATGAAGAACATCTATGTATGTTTTGTAAACTGCTTTAAGAGTACGTTGTCGGTTAGACATTCGTAGAGGTATTGCACGATAAATACCCGTAACGATAACACGATCACCGGGTTGAATTTTATCAACAAGTTCTTCATGAGCATACATAAGTACTGTATGAGGAGTCTGGCTAGCAGGCATATTTTCTGGAGATTCCTAGATAAGAATTTAAGAAAGTGGGAATTAGACTATAATGGTAAAGAAACACCTGTCACGAGAGCGATTACATAAAAGTACACTACAATTCGCAAACTTGACGGCGTAAATATAATGTCCGGCCCTTACTTCCAAATACATTAAAATAACAGTGAATCTAATTGAGATATATATATATATATATATATATATATATATATATATAGTCTGACTCAGAAGCACAACAAAAAGATTAGTACAAACCTGTAATTTAATCATTTGTTTATCCACAAATAAACATCGATTATGTTGTAGTTGAGCTGTATGCGCCGAATGACAACGAATGCACGCTTCTGGTTCTGCAATACGACCACGTTCACATGGAACAGATGTCATTGCACCACAGATGGCACATTTGAACTCTGCACGCATCATTTCAGGGATGAGGGGGGATAAACGTATTACAAGACCCGAGACAGTTACAAGTTGATCAAGATCATCTGGATCAAGGCTGCGTAGATCTCGAGATCTTGCACAATTAAATGGACGAATCTGAAGAAAAAATGGTAACGATGAAACAACCAGAATCAAAGGTTAGTTTTTTAAATGACGTTACAATATTTCTATTTTGTACAACAAATGAAGGTGAATACGACCTTAAAATCAAGAGAATATCGTATTAATATTTTGGATAAAATTAGGTTAAATTTCCTTCAACACCTAATTGTAGCCGATCTACGTATAAGAAGCCTTCCCTGGAACTTAATAAAGATTAGCAAATCAACGATGGGCATCTTTAGGAATAACTACGGTTACTAGTGATAAATATGGTTATTCTCCGGCCTGATATTGAACCGAGTTCACTTCATACATCACTGTAGAGTGCTGATGAACCAGACTTGTGGGAAAAAACTTGAACTATTTGGTTTTGGTATTTCGTTTAGGATTTAAAATAACGGACTATTAACTTATCTCGATAGAAACTATTACATGTATTTAATAAGACTTGAATTTCTTACATCACTGAACTTGCTTGGAGTAAACTCGATCGGTTATTAGACAGAATTAACTTAAAATAGAGATTGATATAATGGCTAGATTGTCTCACATTAAAATTACGCTTCAAGAGGATTACGAACTTTTAATCTTATGGTTGTTAAGGCTTACGTTGTCTTAATATAAGATAAATTACTGTCAGCATTCGTAAGCGGAAATATAGGAGTGGAATAAGACAAAAAATATCAAATTTGCAGACTTTATGGTGATTAAAAAATATACGTCAAAATGTAGTCTCGATTCACAGCAAAAAAATCAATGGTTTTGTGAATTAATTCTAGAGACAAATCCTTCTTCAGAGAGCTGCTGTCAGGCATAAAAAATATTAAAAAACCCGCTCAAACGTTTTACTACCCTAAAGATCTTAAGCACCCTTCCGCCAAGTATTTAATTTTCCATCCATAATGTTTCAAACAACTCACTTTGCAATGGTTTTCCAGTTCTAAACCTCCTTACGATTATGAAACCTAACCTGCATAGATTGGAGATGTTCGGCAACTCTCTATGTTCAACCATCCCTGGTTCTAAAGAATTGATTACATATGATGACAATCTAAGCAATGCCAAGGTCCGGTTATGTGTGCTTAGCTGTAATGATGATAAGTTAATTAGTGTCATTTCGAAATATGAAACTGCTTGAAGTAAAATCTAAAAATATGCAAAAAAACTGACAAATGAAACAGCATGCAAGATATTTGAGGCACACTCGTGATTCTAGCAGTCCCTTTCTAGTTATGGGAGATTTTGTTTATTTATCTGAACTGTTTAATGTAGTTTTAACTTTCATTTACTAACCTAGTAACAACAAGAACTACTATGTGGTATAATAAAATAATAGCACATTCAATACATTTTTCTTCCGAACTGAGTCCAATATCACTATTGGATTTCCATAAGTGAGGATTAAGCCATATTAACATTCCTAATAGTTGAAAGCAATATTTACATATACACAGATATCTTGATACATATATACGAAATACCTGTATTGATCTTTCCAATTGGACTTCCCGAAAGCGATCTAAAAATAAGGCATGTGTAGCAGCATCACATGCTGGAATAACCTCCTTCGGAAATGTTACCAACTGTGTATACAAATCTGGCCTGGCAGAACGAAGATGTTCACAGTCAATGTCTAAGGCAGTCGAGCCTGATATTGCAAGATCTTCCATTCGCTGGAGATAAAGAGGTCTTTGTGGATCTATGGGTTGGCCTGTTGTTAAATTCGGTTGGCCAGTTAAGTCTGGAGGAATGTAGGTCAATAGGAAGTGTTTAAATCTTGACATCACTTGAGCAATGTTTACATCGGTTCCCCATATTACAGTCTAAAATAAGTTAGTAATTTGGTAAAAAGTGTAAATATGTAGAATAATGATAAGTGATTGTTAACGCCTACCTTCAGATTATTAGAGGGGATGAATTAGTGATCACATTATTTCCAAGACCTAAATGATATCAGATGTAACGAAATGTCCAACATAGAAATCCATTTAGTGCGCCCAATGAAGTTAACAAGCTTAATTTTTAGTATGTCCATTGAAAAGGCAAAGGTTTAAGAATGTATTGTACGTACAACTACTAAAAACAACCATGTCTATAGATGAACCTACTTTTTTTATTTTATTTCTGTCGAAATAAACGTGAACACCTCCATTATTAAACTGCTGGTACAGATGTCAAGAGTCAAAATGCGTCTCGATTCTTCTTTTTTCGCCACTGATTCAACAACCGTTGTAGTATAATGTTTATTACTACCAACCTTGGTGTATCCTATTCGTTAAATAGTTTTCTTGTAGTATACAGGGCATGAGATATCCTCACTGCATATGATCTGCAACTGAGATATAGGTAAGAGAAGTTTTAGTTCCAAACTTGGATGGTTGAGTGGATCATCTTCCAAAACTCGATTCCAATGAAGTAAGAAGCCGAACATAAGATACGGTTATAGTACTGGCTTGGACCAATGGAATATTAACCTAGTAACCAGTAACAACATGTATCATCTGTGTGTGGACAACTAAGTTCCATAAGTGCTTTGTTTAAACGCCGAAATGTGCTTAGCCAAGAGGACTGTGGATTAACGTATCTACATATTGCTACCTAATGTGAAAACGCCACAAATTTGATACGAAAATGTATCCTACAATATTAATGCATGCTAAAATATGGTTAATAGGATGATGATACAAGTCTACAATAATAAAACTGTATAAAGGAAGAGTTAAGGATAGAAATTATACAAAAATATTTCTTGCCTGAGGTCCACTAGCAGTCGACCCATCAGTAGTACCAGGGACACTTGTTGCGGGAACAAGAGGTCCAGATTGAGACAAAACAGCACGGACAGCCACCTCATCATTGACACCAGGTCGAACTGAGCTCAAAACATCTTCGACTCCAGTCGCCACACTAGACATATCGCTGTATGACAAAGGACTACCCGGCTCCACTTCGGATGTGCGAAGACCGGATGTTGGTTCCTGTGAAAAAATGAATCTGTTAGTTACAAGCATTTAAAAGATGAACAAACTTCAAGACACAAAATTTGGACAAACAAGGATAGTAGTGACGATTCATTTTACTGAGATTCCAGAAATTTAATACGGGAAGTAAAAACTGGTACATGTGTATCGGCTTAAATTAACATATCCTATCTGTACAGAGGCGAAACTATCGAGATAAATATAAAAGTAGTAGGCGAAGAAATATCGGTGATAGTAATAAGGATAAGGCATATCGAATGTGATATGAGGATGAATTCACAGAACTGTGTAAAACAACTTTAAGACTCATGATCTAAGGGATGAAAACGAGTTGCTGAATCTGCTTCATTCTGAGTTATACCATCTAACTCCACCCATTGATCACGGGTATTGAGCTAACTCAAACTAAGTAGTATGTACTTGCCAGCATGGTTTGGATCAACAGTCAACGACTTTGTAGACTGGTGCTACTCTTAAGTTTGGTCGCTTCATGCTTTCTCTAGACTTTAATATGTCAACATTGAGCGTTGGGGATACGTGATCAACGTCCCAAACACCTGGCACTAAAAATTCACTACCTCAATCGATTCATCATATTTACCTAGTACCCTGGATATCTAATACCATGTCAGGGGGAACTACAGAACGTTTTGGCTACAAATATCTTTCATAAAAAACATTGACAAATAATATTATCAAAATAAATCCATGGGGACACAGGGATATCTTATATACCACCAGCTCGAACATAAAAACCAGAAGGTAAACAGGACCTGAGAAAACTAAGTAAATGTATGTCTAAAAGATAAATCCATCTAGTCATATTGTTTAGTAACTCACTTAGAGCTTCAAACGAGATGTCTACTGAATCACGGGTGCTAGTCCGAAAAAACTCATAGAACTCCGAACAGTACTTAATAATTGTTTACTATTTTTCTGGTTTCATGTAAACGAAGCCAACATTTCGCCAGATCCCAGCATCTATAGTTTTAACCAAAATGTAAGTTGCCCACTGAAAACCTGCGGTACATATTTTAATTTCTGAATGAGTTAAGGAACGAGAGCGCTACCAAGAATTGAGATGGGGTGGTGAGACTAATTTATGAACGACATTTGAGCGACGCTAAATTAACCTTAAGGACGTTCACCAACTTACTAGGGTTAGATGAGGGTCGTAAATCAATGTGAGGAATAAAGATTACGGCTTACAGTTGATGGTTAGGATTAGGTATTAGATTCAGGAATTTCATTAAGAACTGACATCAGCTAAAATGCCAAAACGCTATTTAACCAAATGGGTGGATGAATTTTGAGCCAAAACTAAAGACCTGTTATCCCAAGTCTGACTGGTTTGTCCATAAATTAGTTTCGCCAAAAACTGGATATAATAAGACCGCAACCAGGTCAGCAGGACTAAATTCACTCCACGAAATACAACAGTGAGGGATTAGGTAACCAAAAAATGTAATATTTATGCCGATGAAGAACATCAAGCTTTACATATACCACAAATACAGCTATACTACATATAAAACTAACCATTGACTAGAGACCGTCATTTTAGTACCATGCCGATGTTCTAAGAGTTAGGTTGATAGTGGAAATTTGAGGTAATGAGGCAGAGTACAGCCAATACGAACACGACTAATGCTTAATAGGTATATTTACCCAATAAACTGACTAATTTCTTGATACGTTTCATAACATTTGTGATAATCTATACATAAGCTGGCGCGTGAACAACTGTCAGACAATATACAACTTTACAAACCTATGTCATGAAACTTTAGCTGAAGACAATAGTGTACTGTAAAAACAGCTCTATAAAAAGGGCAATAAGTCAACTCACTGCATTGCTTGTGGGCTCGGTATGTCCTGACCGATTACGTCGTGTTCTCCCACGTGTACGACTTGATTCCCCTGTTCGTTCAAACGCAGTTCCAGCACTTAACAGATCACCTGACAACTGACCATCGTTTGTTGCATTCCTTCGGCGAGAACTTCGCGAGCTAAGACTTGACATTTTCGGACTTTCATATACCCGCTTCTTAAGAGTAGAATCGAAAACCGATGTGTTCAATTCCCAATAAATAATTCTCAGTTTTTGACACATGTTATCAAGCATTTAATTACAAAAGAAGTCATTGTGAATTTCCTAGAAGTTAAAATCTTTGTTGTGATAAAGAGATTTTATGTCTCGGTTTTATTTTTCATGATATTGCCGTGTACATGTATTCAGTGGTAATGATAGTAGGTCGGTAGAAATGCTTTAACACTTGATGTTCATTTTCCAGTGAACAGTCAGCTTTGCTTAGGAAATTTCTACAAGCTCAGCCGATACTACTCGTTCGGATACGAAGTTTCAGTCACTGACTATACTCAAGAGAAAATCGGATCCAATATTGGTTGATTGGAGATTAAAAAGTTACTTTACCCGTTTAATGCCTACTCTCTCCAAAGGTTAAAAAGGATCTGTATCGTTGATTAGGTATGAATTAACTGCTTGAATGAAGTATTCCTAGTGATGTTTGAGCATATAAAATCGGAAATGTTTTTCGTACAAGCATTTTCTATTTCATTTTGAAGAGAACAGGAAGCTGGGTGGCATGTGTTAGTTCTAGCAATGTCAGTCTTTTGGTTGATCGAAGTTTATGTTGAATGATCCAACAAATTAGGCTTCAATTACTTGTTGAGTTAGTGAGTCCCATTTATTTATTATTCGGTAGGAAAGTTGATAGTCACCTGACAAGCAATTTCTTCTGGACTTGTTAACCTTTTTTGCGTATCCTTTCAAACCTTCTCATTTGTTAGACGAAAAGAATGCGGAGGTGTTAGATGTAAATTTATCGATAAGTTATTTAAAAACCGTGATCAAGCCACGTCTGGTCTATTTATATGCCAAGGAAAATAGGTTAAGTTTGGCCAGTCCCACATCACACAACATCTTTGTGATTCCGGAAATCAATGTATCTGCTGTCGAGCCTTTTCCAACTGCTCACTGTCCTCTTTAAGTCAGCAGCTGGATACCAGTACGCGGGTCTAAACAAGATTATTGGTTCTGAGGGGAGAGACAAAAACTATCCGGCTATCCAGTTGGTTATCGAGCAAGGGAGGTAGAGAGAAGACGAGTCAACTGGAACATTACTTGATTTATTCCTGATTCTAGATTCAGATTTGCATAAAAAGGTACCTGAATTAGTAAACGATTGACATGACCACAACGTACAAAAAAATTAGAAAAATCTAATCATGTCGAAACTTAGTAGAAAAATAGAATACAAAAGGCTACGTTTGAATTACAATGATTAGGATGTGATAGTGTATGGTAGTGAATCGTGCACCAAACGAAATTTTATGATTTATATTACAACTTAAAGGTGAAACTAAATGTCATTGTTTTACAAATTTTTAATAGGGCGAAATAATGTCTCCGAATATAGCTTCCATTGCTTATCATGGCTTTTTATTTCTCTATTCACGTCACAGCATATTATTATTTATATTTATTTAAACACATATATATTGGTACAAAAGGGCACCAGGTACATATGCGCCACACAAAATAATGAAAGTAGGAAGAGAAGGGATGAAAAGATAAGGCGGACTGAAATGTACAACCAGAAGACTCTTTCAGTTAAGAAAGTTAGAACCATTCTTTATGTAGAAAGTAAAAGAAGGTTGCAGCAGGATCGCCACTGGCTTCTATTCTGAGCCATATCTGATAACGTCTCTAGCCACTGTGTTACACCATCTCTCGGACCCCAACCAGGGAGTCGTGAAGGACCAACAGAAGCTAGCCCTTTGCAGCTCTCTTTCATGCCACGACACCATGTCATACACTGACCTCCTCTCCGCTTTCTCCAACCAGTCCCAGGGTCGGCAAATAATGCACGACGCGGAAGTCTCTGGGACGACATTCGTAAAACATGTCCAAGCCACCGAAGTCAGTGTTTCAAGATGGTGACATCAATTGAATTATCGTCTCTGCGCCCGAACACACGATGCCGAACCTCTGCATTACTAACATGGTGTTGCCACTGTATGTCAGCAATCCTTCGGAGACAACGATGATCGAACACAGAGAGACGTCTAACATCCTCAACTCGGAGAGGCCAGGTTTCACAAGCATCTCACCGACGCGTTGTAGATCCGACATTTTACAGCCAGAGTAACATCACGAAGGCGCCAAAGGTGGCCCAGATTGGCATAAGCCGCTCTGGCTTTCCTTATACGTGCATCAATCTCATCACTCACGCCACCACCAGCACTTATGTAGCTACCTGGATACACGAACTTCTCAACTACTTCAATCTGCTCACCATCCAGGGTGAGTACAGGATGAGAATCCTGCCAGTCTTGTAGGAGTACTTTGCACTTGGATGGTGCAAAGCACATGCCGTACCTGCGGACACTGATTGCCAACTGATTAGATGCGGATTGCATGGCTTGAGCATTATCGCACAATAAGACAATATCATATCGTATACAGGGCCTTTAAGATGTCAATGGACTTCTCAGGCACACCCTTCTTCAATAGACAATCCCAGAGAATAGTCCTGTCCAACGAATCGAAGGCCGCCCTGATATCAAGAAACACTACGATTGTTGGCCTGCGATAAGTATGACGGTGTTCTGACATTTGGCGGAGGGTGAAGATGTGATCAATGCATCCTCGACCAGAACGAAAACCAGCCTGCTCCTCGCGAGTCAATCGTTCTCGGGTTTTAAACAACCTACGAAGAATGATAGAAGCCAATAGTTTGGACGCAATCGGAAGTAGACTTATCCCCCGATAGTTATTGCAGGAACAACGTGAACCCTTTTTAAAGATAGGGACGACTATCGACTCATTCCAAGATGTTGGAACACTTTATCGTTCCCAAACCTTTCCAAACAACACAGTCAGTTCTTTAGTCAGAAGGTCACCATCATCTTTAAAAAGAGCCGGAAGTAAGTCATCTGGGCCAGGTGATTTGTAACGTTTCAAGAGTTGGAGTTCCTTGCGGACTTCCGCCTCGTTTGGTGGATTAGCCGTCACCGGCCATGGGGGCAGGACAAGCTGGTTGATGTTGCCGGAGCAGCAGGCCAGTTGAACTGCCCTTCGAAAAATTCCGCCCATCGTCCAAGACGTCGACAGATGTTAGTGATTGGCATCCCGTCATCCTCGTAGATTGTTTCACTCACACCAGACTTCTTGCTGCCAGTGGCTCGGATGAGTTGGAAGAGCTTCCGGCAGTTACCAGATGCAGCTGCTGCTTCCATCTCATTAGCACGCTCCGACCACCAGGCTTCCCGGTCCTTACGCGAGCTTTGCCCGATTTCATTACGTAACAGCCTTCGTTTGTGGTCAAACTCACGGTCACCCGGAGTAGACCGACGGGCTTCCATCAGTTGTAAGGAGCCAGAAGAAACCCAGTGCTTGTAAGCGGGACGTTTCGCGAAGCCGCAAGCGGCTTTACTCGCCACTTTCATGGCATCGTGAAGAAGCAACCAATGCTCATCTATACTTTTCGGTGGGATGTTAGCTAGCCTAGAGGCTATCATAAGTCGAGCAAAGAACTTTTCTGTGCGCCACATCTCACCAACCTTCACCCAGATAGCATCCTGTTTGGTCACTTTCTCCGTGTTGTCCGTCATAGGAAACTCCTTACTTAATTTTGCACCGAGCCTGTTATTGAAAATTTGGAAGAGTGAAGTTCACCTTGAGACATTTGGAGCGGCAGTATATAGCTCTGTGAGTCTTCGATATTGAGTCTAATCTCTCTATTTATGCTAAACATACTCTCATATGGAAGCGCCAGGTTGTGCATCTTCATCAGATCACGTTAGGGAACTTTGTTCTGTAGATCTCATACGATAACTAGTTAGGTTGACTTCCATAGAATACCGTACATATATCTTTAACCCAGTTGTAGATTAATGTCTCGCTACTCTCATCTTCTAGTTCTTCAGGCTTCGGAGTAACTGTGTGGGAAGTTTCAGACAATAAAGTTTTCAAACCTTGTATATCAGTGACCTTATCATTCCTTATCGAAAGCCTCGGTGTAGTCTATGAATATTACATTGATGGGTGTTGAGGTTTGAGTATTATTTACTTCCCTATGGAAAATATAATGTTACCAACTATCCACACTGTCAAACTAACGACGACACAAGAATCCGTTTATTCGACTGTTATAACGGTCCGTTCTCCTTGTTATTCGAAAGGGACATTAATTTACCTTAAACGAGTATCTACATTAGATTCCTTCCCAGTGTCTATTCCAAAGGACTTGAACACAACTCAGATCAATGACACACGATTAGCCTGACTATAACGTTAATATATTTCCACATCAAAACCAACACATCCAACAACAAATGGACAGCCAATTAATAATAACAAATAATAACGATAGGGGAATATATTACTCATCTGACACCTACCAGACTATCTACATGTCTGACTAAGCAGATAATCAATCATTATCGTTCCCGCCCACACATCACCTTCCTCGCGAAGTTTGATTGTATGACTTCACTTTAGGGTCGATATGAAAAAATCTCTTTTGAATTTGTTCCCTGAATGATCTTCGGCTAGCTTCTGATTTCAGCTCATTTTTTCTCATTTCAACTTGTGGTGGTGGAATATTAAATGTATTACACAATATTTCCACAGGTAAAGGTTTTGGTATAGATGACACATAAACATTTTTCCTATCTCGCAGTTGATTGATGTGTTTGATAATTAGTGTATTTTCGACCATGACTTCATAAAATACCGTCCCACGCACACCCAAATATCCATTTTGGCTTGCCAGGCTGGAAATCACGTGCAGAGATTAAATCACACGCAACGAAAATGAAACATTAAATAACAAAATTATAATCAGTCATGTTAGTGTTATTTAAATGAATACATCGGCTTTTCGTCGTACGTTTTTCTGATTGAGTTCAATTCAGTTAGGTAAGGTAGTTTAGCTGTCGTTATCTCACTGCTTGTAGTATACCACAGAAAGTTAATCAAGAAGAGTTGACACATGCTTGTTGATGAATATCTTCAATTGTGTAAACTTATAGTTATTTCATTTCGAGTCCATTCAAAGCTACAGAAAACTTAGATTTTTATTTAGTGAGTTATACCACACCATTAAAGCTAGATTGATACAAACAATTTTCGGTTGAATTTATAGATGGGTGTCAAGTCACGATTGACTATAATCAACACCACAATAGGATTATGTGCCAGATATCGACTTGGATCTCTCGGTAGGCCGAAAACCAGATGGCTGTTAATGGTCCAGATAAGATATATTTGTTGACGATCTCGTGGTACCTTTAGAATACCGAGACGTGCCAAAGAGTACAAGCCAAACGGCGGAGCGTAAGAGCGTTCGTACAAGCAAAATGGACGACGGAAGGAAAAGTGCGTTTGGTAGAGTTAAACAAACAAGTACAGTAAAACAATTACTGGTACAATTGATTATAATAATAATTGTTTCCATTATATCAAGCGCGTTCTCGTCATGAATAGCAGGTCACTACGAATTAAAAAGACTCTCTTCATAAGTCATGATATCACTTGCGATTTCTAACTCTTCTGACTGCTTTAAAAACATCCTATTGACAATTATTCGTTGGGTCTAATCAAAATACCGCAGTCACAAAAGAATACGTGATTAATAAGGCTACAAACGTGAAATATATAGGAATTTTTTCTTTCAGTTGCAACATTTAAACGATGTTCAAATTTGAGCGTAGAGAATTAGCCATTGAAAAATGTATGGAATATTTTCAAACAATCCCGATTCACACGAACAAACTAAAAGTGTACAACTTTTAGAATTTTAACGATGAGTTCAGTAATACAAAACTTGACTAGTACATCTGTGAGCTGTAGTGTATGTAAATCTGTTAATTCTGGTTTTTGTGGTAGGTGAAATTTATTTGATCTGTTTATTTACCACTAAACGAAACTTTTCAAGCCTGAAAAGACTTGGTAGAAGTTTCCTTAATATTTTCTCTAATAATGGATTTGAAAGCGTTCACTTAATAAACAATTATTGTCAGAAGCAATCAAAATAATTGTAAACAAGTTCGTTAGGGACCAGATGAGTTAGCTATAATTCAAAGAAAACACTGAGTGCAATGAGTAGCATGTGTATTATTGAATGATAACCATAAAATTCATCAACACTCAATAACCAAACTTTCACAATACTTGGTTTGCGGTCTTACCGAACCATCCAATCATATGGATATGGTACACTTGAAAATCTAAGTCGAAAGATACAGGATTTATTAAGGGAACTCTTGTGGTACAACAAAATCTATGTAAGTAGAGATGGATACTAAGTGAATTCAAAATCTATGTAAATTAATTATAAACCTCAACTCATAAAGTATCTGTACAGGTGAACGTGTCTGCAAACCTGGGAGAAAAAAATTATTCCAGTAATCATTATATGAGGACAAGTTACAGCCCAAGATAACGTAAGTGGAAGGTCGTAATCGCATTTAAATTCGCTTCTGACTATTATGAATCGGAGGCTAAGAGCGCAAAACTATGGAATTTCTTGTAATTAGACAGAGGCTTAAAGAACTCACAAAAATTGAAGGTAACTGTTACAAGTATTGAGGGAATGTAATTACAATAGTAGATAAGGTTAATTATACTATTTTATGTAAATACTTCATAATGTTACACAGCAAAACTATACTCTACACACTGTGCTCAAAGTTTATTAGAAATGAATCTAGTTATTGAATATTTGTAAGTAGTATATGATAATGTACAAAAACTGGTTGAATGTGAAGAGAGTAAATAGAATGTAAAGGAACTTAACATTAAGTTTTTGAGGGATGAGACTTGAAATTCCACGATAATTTACATGCGTTATGTAGGTTAAATTGTAGAAATTCTTATTGTATCCCAAAGTAACCTACTTTTATCTAGTCAGCAAATGTGTTATTCTAATTTGATCATGTATTTTGTGACCATATATTCAAACACATTTCCTTCTAATTATTTCAGTCATTTCTCTTGTATGTTTTTTTTGTATCTGATGTGCATGGTTTGTTGGTATATGTCCATTTATATACTTTAATTTCATACGCTACACTTTTTCTTATATAAAAACAAACTCATACTTAACCAAATGTCCATTGACCAGTAATATTCAAAGGTTATGTTATGTCCATCTATTCATACCGATAGTCTGTTTGAATAAATGGATGCATGAAATATACATATCTTCAATACACTTTGTATGCTAGTTTTTCTCTTCTGTTATTGTTAACGAAATTAGTCGAGAGAATGAATTAAAAGATAAGCTACCGCGTCTGGTCGCCTTTATGTGCATCTACCAGTTTACCTGCTCTTGTGGCACAAGGTACATCGGCCGCAGCCAGCGCTTGCTTTCAACTCGGATACGAGAACATATCACAGTTTGGTTCTACAAGGGTGAAAGGAAAGCAGTTAGGAGTTCTATACTTGAACACCTAATCGACTGTGATCATTCTACGAATCCAGTCTGATTTTAAGGTTGTTTATATGATTCTTCCAAATGTACCTAGATTTCTCCTAAAAATAGCCGAAGCTCTTACCATCCATGAGCTTAAATCAGAACTATTCATACAAAAGAAGTACGTCTTATCATTGTCGTTACCATGGCCTTAATATTATTATTATCATTTTATTACTATTATTACTGTATTTCCTCTTTACTTATGTATTATATTCTCATTATTTTATTCGTGAATACTCATCATATCACCTTCTTTATTTTCTTTTACACTTCTATAACCTTTAATGACCTTTAATTATTGTAGCCAAAACATTTTATTCATCTTATTATATTCACTAAATCTATTGTTATTACTCGTATTGCGTAATCCAGTATTATAATCCTTCTATTACGTCATCTTAGTGTTCACATTTGCTCACGGAATTAGTACTTTCACAAAACATTTTCATATATATATATATACGACTTCTTCAGGGAAGAAGTCCAGACAAGTTAGCTGGACGAAACGTTGGAATTATTTAAATTTCAATCGCTGAGACTATTTCAAATATAATTTTTTCACATATAATGAATTCTCTATACTCGGCGCCCAATTATTGTCAAACTATTTTCATATATATATATATATATATATATATATATATATATATATATACGATTGATAATAAATTTTGGTTGGAAAGAGATCCCTTCGCTGAACCTCGTGTTTTTAATCAATTAGAAGTTTTATAGTTTAAGTCACTAACTAATCTCAGCTAAACAACCTCTGGAAACCTGGAAGCATAGGACAAATGTTTTCTTTTAATATGGAAATCTTCAGCAGTACATATCCACAACCTTGTCACTAAGACCTGAACCAAAGAACTCTAGAGTTACACGCAAACACTGAACAACCATGACACATGTACAAACATTACAAATCCCCTGATAAGAATAATTTCAGATGGCAATAAGAATCTTATAGTTTATTGAATAAACTAATATGATGAAGTCAGTATAAGATTATCTGGTTATTATTCTAACTTGGTCATCTCTTGTAAAATGGCAATCTAAAAGATATACTTTCAGTTTATATTTTTAATTATCTGAAGTTTCTGCTGATGATGTAGTCCAGAAGGATGACGAAAACTCCACGATCAAACCATCCAGCTCAAAGAATAAAACTCCATCAAAAAAGTATTTTACCATTAGCAATAAAGAAAAGTACATGTTTAGTAGTTTATGTAACGTGACATTTACGTAAAAAAAAAATTAACATGTAATTACTGACATATACACATATCTAAATATATTTACATATAGATATAAACATACTTCATTTATATGAATAAGCAATTCAACTTGATTCAATTCATTTATTAAAAGGATCATTTAAGATAAGAATAATCAAGACTATTTAGTCTTTGAATATAAAGTACTCTGTTGTGAATTCGTCAAGGAATTTACTTGAAAAGAAAAAAAGATGAAGAATTTATTAGTAAGTATCATTAATGAAATATACTACATTTTATTTTGTCTAATAAAGTTTTTATTTCCATTAAAAGATATATATCCTACCTTAATTATATACATACTTACTTATACCTTTTAACCTTCGTAGAGGAAGGAAAATAGGTCATCCATTAGGATTCTTCATTGAACTATATTTTGAGCAATTTTTTCAAGTTGTTAGTAGTTGCTAGTCATTCTTTTCATGTTTGATTCCATTATCCGACGCAACATCTTCCTTAATCTGCCTTTTTTCCTTTGCTCATCCAGGATTTCAAGTTAGTGCTTTCCTCATGATGCAGTTTTAGGATTCTCGCAATGTATGTCCTTTTCCTAATATATATATATATATATATATATATATATATATATATATATATATAAGTTAATAAATTTGGATTGTGGCTAGCAGTTAGATCCAGGATGCGCGTTTTATCCTTGATGTACACAATTGGCGGCCTGCTTAAACATCTGGGCCACATGTTCCTGTCATTTAGATATTTTCAACAAGTTATCTAATTTCACTTGTTTTAATACATTAATAGCGCAACTTATCCAGGTGCATTTAACTTTTCACAGTAAAGGTTACAAAAGGTCTAATCCGAGATATCGTAGTTGCTGACAATATGCAGCGAAACGAACGTACATTATTTAGATTTCGATTGACTGGACTGCTAACTTCTAACTGGAGATCACTCAATATTTATCGCCAGGATCGAAGAAGAAGTAAGAAGCGGAAACCTGTTGAAATACTTTGTGATGAGAATTCTATATTGTACCAAAAATATAATATTGAATAAAGCTAGTAATAATAATAATGACCTCAGATATAGTACATTTTGCTTCAAACTATGACTTATTGTTCTCTAAACTATTGAGTCTAGATGATTACTAATATCTTAGTATCAGGGTAGCCCTCTCTGACTGTATATGTGCCAATCGAAACTAAACAAATACCATTCTTAGAATCAGTGGAGGAAAAACTTAAACCCTACTCTCTGTACATATATATAACATTGAATCAGTTTTCTTCAGATGGATAATTCTTTATAATCTGTTATTCATTGATCAAGAACCAGATTAGTAACCAACGTCATGTTTTTTTAATCCTTAATGTTGGGAGAATTCTCTCAATAAAGTTAAACTGTAACCACTGGTCTAATTGGCTGGAAGCCACATGCGCTAAATTTGTATCAAATGTTTGGAGTCGGTCAATGGGAAACCTTGAACCTAGGTTGAGTGTTAGTCAACAATTTTAGCAAGGAGTACCAGTAATCTTGAAAGAACTGATGCTTTCTGGTGGATTTGACCATGAAGCATCCACCTTTATTGCAAGAGACGTTATCATTGAACTATTAGGGGGTGGAGGTTCAAATGACCTCCGTATACGAGGCCAAATGTATTCGTTACTTATCTTTTTAATAATGATATATGACTGAGATATTTATAACTGATTAAACACTGAGTGGTAATTAATATCATTTTTGTTTAGTTTGTAGTACCGGTCAAATTCTGTCAATCATTTAGATCACTCTGCAAAAAATGTAACATTTTTTACTACTACTCAGAGATCAGTCAGTATAAAATATCAATGATTTCAGTCCTAGGTTTAATTTTTAATATGCTTCGTCCAAAATTTTTACTGAAATCTGTAACAAAATGAGCATCTCAGGAGACAAGAAAAGCTAATAACTTCCAGAAGGGCGTTTTGTGGAGATTTTATTAGTTTTATATAGTTGAGATCATGAGTCAATTGAAGCTAGACCATCATAGAAAACCCAGAAGCACTGGACGACCGTTTCGTTTTATTATGGGACTCCTCAACAGTGCTCATCCACGAGAAGCAGTAACCAGTGGAGTTCAACCAGGTCTGTTGAGAGATATCAACTCACTGAAGGTATTGGTGAATGGTTTCTCAATTTCGTGAATTACATAATTTTACAAATTTTATAATTAATTATTTTCTGACTAAAAAGACATTTTTAAATGTCCAATAGAGATTAGTTAAACAGCTTTAGTATATCACCTTCACAAACATAATACCTTTAGTACTGATTTGCATTTTCAAAAATATCAATAAAAAAGCACAATAATTTCTGACGTGCTGGAGGCAGATGAGAATTAGCAACGCCATGATATATTTAATTTTGAAGAAGTTTTTAAACAACCTAGAGAATTTTTCTGTGATCTAAATATATATATGGTCGGTTGGAATTGAAACAACTGGTAATTATGAAGGAAAGTAGAAGTTTGTCTCGACTGTCTCATCTACTGGCTTTGATTCTCTATTTCCAGTTATAGAAGGACTGTTGTACCACCCGGGTACTCAAAGAGCATAAGTTCGTGTAATAAGACGGTCATCCTTCTATTCTTTAACGTCTTGGTCTGACCAACAAGGATTAAGTAACGTAATGACATGGAGTTTCATGGTAATCGAGGGTCACAGTAGGTCCGGTCTTTATTTGTTCCTTCAGGATTTAAGAGCCTATATGGAAGAGGCTATAAATGTTTATAGTTTTAGGGGAATACTAATTCATTGATGATTTTAAACAATAAGATTCTAAAATAATTAATATTTCAATTAAAAATACATTAACTAGTATATTTAGTCAGTTGGGTAATTGTTATCCATGTAGATGTTGAGATGGGAAAAAGAATTTACGCATTACAAATATATGTGGTATTTATGACGCAGAACAACTTCCTAGACCGCGGTGAAAACTCGTTTGAAAAAAGGTTGATTAAACATTTCCGACTTAATGATAATCATCTCGAATGACGAAATAGTATTGTCTACTATATTAACAATGGATGTGTTTGTTTTTTAAATCCTTAGAAATCTTTCAAATAATATTGAATACCTAAAAGCACTGGACGGTCGTTTCGTTCTCAACAGTGCTGAGGAGTACCACAATAGGACGAAACGGCCATCAAGTGCTTCCAGGTTTTCCATGGTGTTCTAGCTTCGATTGACTCATGATCTCAACGATTGAAATTACTAGAGTATCCACAAAACCCCTTCTAATATTAAATACATTTAAAAAATATCTATGATATAATGTTGTGTTGAATGCTCATTTAATTCTGTTACCGATTTAGCAACTTTCTATGTCAGCTTAACTAACTACTTAAGTGACGAAATCATAATTAGGCAGGAAGCTTTCATTCACCAAACTTAGTTAAGAATATATATTTACACTTAATCACAAATATATGTTTATCTTCCTTAGAAAATTAGGCTAGATTTTCAACTAATAAGTAATATCTTAATTTAATTTAGATGAATTAATCAGAATCAAGGAAAATGTTTTACTTTTTGTGCAAAATTTAATTACTTACTTACGCCTGTTACCCCTAGCGGAGGAGCATAGGCCGCACACCACTATTCTCCATCCAAACCTGTCCTGGGCAATCCTTTCCAGTTCTTTCCAGTTAACATTCATCCTTCTCATATCTGCTTCTATTTCCCGGCGTAGTGTGTTCTTCGGCCTTCCCTTTTCCGCTTCCCTTCCGCATTTCAAGTTAGACCTTGCCTCTTGATGCAGTTCGTTGATTTTCTTAATGTATATCCGAATCACTTCCGACATCTCTTCCTAATTTCCTCTTCAGCTGCAAGCTGGTTTGTCTTCTCCCATAAACCACTGTTGCTGATGATATCCGGACAGTGAATATTGAGTATTTTGCGTAGACAAATGTTTATGAATACTTGCATCTTCTTGACGATGGATGTAGTAATTCTCCACGTTTCAGCTCCTTACAGTAGGACTGTCTTGATGTTCGTATTGAAGTTAATTGACAGTTGTTTTGAGTTCCATATATTCTTCAACTGTAGAAATGCGGTCCTTGCTTTGCCAATCCTCGCCTTTACATCTACATCCGATCCTCCTTATTTATCAATGATGCTTCTCAGGTACGTGAATGTTTCTAAATCTTTCAGAGTTTCTCCATCACGTGTGACTGGGTTGGTGTTCTCTGTGTTGTATTTGATAATCTTGCTTTTTCTTTTGTGTATGTTGAGGCCTACTGATGCAGAGGCTGCTGCTACATTTGTTGTCTTCGTTTGTATTTACTCGTGCATATGAGATAGGAGGGCTAGGTCATCTGAGAATTCCAAAGCAAAATTTAATAATGAATAATTTTTATGACATGTAGAAAATGCAGTAGAAATGCCTGTGTCTAATGAACAGAATATTATATTGTTATTACCACTTATTACTACCCTGGTAATCCAATTTTTTGAGTTTTTTTCTTGGTCATTAGTTTTATTTTGGTTAATATTTAGTTTTGTATTATATTCCTCTGTCATTACCCAATTTTTAAACCACCCTTTCACTCACACATTTCCGCTCACTTGATTTTCTTAAATTATATGAGCTCTCCAAATTCTGTTCAATTATTACTCAACTCATCTTACCAGTTTTTAATTCTATGAATCCTTTATTACCTCTAAAATTATCACACAATTTATCTTATCTATCTCTGAACTCCATTCAACTATTACACCATCCATCCTTTATGCTTCCTTGATTCTAACACCTAATAACCTTTGACCTGTTCCTGCATACATGTATATGTAGTTATCATTGATAACCTTTTGTCATCCCAATCCTTTACATTCACTTATGTCAATTGTTCCACACTATTTATTATCTCAATGCTAAAATTCTAATACATATTTGGTTGTAAGCAGCTGACATGAAACCACGAAATATGATGAATTTATATTATTCTGCATCAATATTTGTTCTAGCTTTATTTGAAAACATTAAGGGAAACGAAATATACTGGGTTCGAGTCCCAGAGTGAACATCAAATCTGAGATGCGGCAGGTACATCCAGCTGACGAGTCCCAAATAGGACAAAACTCGTGTCCTGGATTCCACTGCTAGCCACTATCCATCTTTGATCAAGGGAACTAATTGTATGAAATGTTTTATTATTAAAAAAAGAAGAAAATTCGTTCTAATCATTATAGAGTCAAAAAAGACAATGTGTATTACGTCATGTGATTGATGGATTTTGTTTATAGTTAATGCTCAAATAAATCATTTTATCAATGGTTCATTGGATAATAAGCAAATCGGTAAAGTAGAAATAGTAAAATAGATCAATTCTTGATTTATAATCTATGAAGATTTTTTAATATCTACAAAACTCTATACTGATAATAATTATCTATGCATTAGTGGCTAGCTTCTGTGTGAAATTTCTGGAGTTCTAGTGAGAAGATGTGACAAATGGAAGCAAACTATGTCTAGTATGAAACAGTTAACCACCATAAACATTGGAAGATGAGTGAACGATATTATGAATTGATTAA